AGTGTGTATACTGACAGAGATAGTGTGTATACTGACAGAGATAGTGTGTATACTGACAGATAGTGTGTATACTGACAAAGTGTGTATACTGACTGAGATAGTGTGTATATTGACAGGGAAAGTGTGTAAACTGACAGAGAAAGTGTATATCCTGATAGATAGTGTGTATACTGACAGAGAAAGTGTGTATACTGACAGAGAAAGTGTGTATAATGACAGAAAGTGTGTATACTGACAGAGATAGTGTGTATATTGACAGAAAGTGTGTATACTGACAGATAGTGTGTATACTGACAGAGAAAGTGTGTATACTGACAGATAGTGTGTATATTGACAGAAAGTGTGTATACTGACAGATAGTGTGTATACTGACAGAGATAGTGTGTATATTGACAGAAAGTGTGTATACTGACAGATAGTGTGTATACTGACAGAGATAGTGTGTATATTGACAGAAAGTGTGTATACTGACAGATAGTGTGTATACTGCCAGAGAAAGTGTGTATAATGACAGAAAGTGTGTATACTGACAGATAGTGTGTATACTGACAGAGATAGTGTGTATATTGACAGAAAGTGTGTATATTGACAGATAGTTTGTATACTGACAGGGATAGTGTGTATACTGACAAAGTGTGTATACTGACAGAGAATGTTTGGAGGGACAATGATGGAAATTGGTTGGGGGAGGATGAAGGGGAGGGAGGCATACTGTATGTGTTTCTGGGAAGGAAGACATGGGAAAGAGGCCGTAGGTGGTCAGAGAGAGAGAGTAATGGTGGACGTAAAAATCAATAATATAATCTAACCAAATATTATCAACCCAACCCCAACCCAACCCAACCCAACCCAACCCAATCCAACTCAACCCAACCCCAACCCAACCCCAACCCAACCCCAACCCCAACCCCAACCCAACCCCAACCGCAACCCACTCTACAAGGACTCGTGACGTATGGGTGAGCGAGGCAAACTCTTGTCTGTCAGAACACCTGAACCCTTAAGGCTTCTTACACGCACCCCAACACGCGTGGGTTAATCTTCTTATATGGATGTGGCCGCCTTGTATATTAAGAGTGTTAATTCCTTCTTGTTTGTTGTTGTTGTTTTTGTTCTTGTTGTTGCCACTGTTCCAGAGGACCGTGAGTTCGTACCCTGGGCTTCTCTAGTTCTTACGGCCGGGAGTGGATACTTCACATTTGGGCAAGTGAAGGCGTTACATTTACCGCCTTCCTGGGACTTCCTTTCAGGTCTAGTTTAGGGTAAAGTAAGGTAAAGTAATTTTTTTTTTCGGTCCCGGGACTTGAGTGTCCAGAATAAACAAGCCAAAAGCCGTCACTTGTTCACACTCTCAGAGCTTGGGTGCGATTGGTCATGGTGTACTGTGATCAAAAAGTCCCCAGACTTGATCATCCACAAGTCTTACTGGGTCTCAACCCAGTCCATAGGGATCCCATTTCTAATGGATCCCAACTCCGATTGTCCCCCATGCTAGTAGTTCGGGTAACTTGGAGCCGCTTGGACAGGAGTGTTTGTTTGACGGGCGACTGTACTGTCAGCCAACCTACCAGGGTGAAGTGGCTCCATGTCTTCACGTTATAGCACATCTGTATATCTGTCAATGTCAAGATAATTCACACTTCAATTCAAACAGAGAGACGCAATATTCTATTTTCCTTGTGTAGAACTTTCAGGTGAAGGTAATGAGTGGTCTTCGGTCCCATGGGAAGCCCACCTTGATGCTGTATTGTGTGAGGTGATGTACCACTCTCGTCCTTGGTAGTGTGACAAGTGGCTGGGACGGATATATATATATATATATATATATATATATATATATATATATATATATATATATATATATATATATATATATATATATATATATATATATATATATATATATATATATATATATATATATATATATATATATATATATATATATATATATATATATATATATATATATAGCATCACAACACAAACCACAGTTCACCACAATAATGTAAACAACAGTTTCATGCACATATAGTGGTTCACCACCTGCAACACACATAACACACAGTGGCACCGTTTGTGTCACAGCCCGGCTTGTGTCTAGTGGTTCACCACCCGTGCATTTGTAGATAACGTCAGTGTGGCACAGCCCTGCTTGTGTCTAGTGGTTCACCACCCGTGCATTTGTAGATAACGTCAGTGTGGCACAGCCCGGCTTGTGTCTAGTGGTTCACCACCCGTGCATTTGTAGATAACGTCAGTGTGGCACAGCCCGGCTTGTGTCTAGTGGTTCACCACCCGTGCAATTGTAGATAACGTCAGTGTGGCACAGCCCTGCTTGTGTCTAGTGGTTCACCACCCGTGCAATTGTAGATAACGTCAGTGTGGCACAGCCCGGCTTGTGGCTAGTGGTTCAGCTTTAATCTCGGGTGAGCGGATCTTGCGGAGTTTATAAATAATATTTACTTGGCTTCCATGCACCGAAGGTTCTGCCTGACGTCTGCAGCAGCACAGACGTCAGAGGCTCACCTGCCGCCCTAATAGAATATCCTGAGTTTTAAAGGACACTTTAAAGATGTTTTCCGTTGTTTTGTTGTTTTCTGGGGTACAACTGCTCTAAAACAATCTCGGGAATATCTTACCGGTTGTATTTGTGTGTGTGGTGGGAAGAGGGTGTGGTAGTGTATGATAAGGGTGTATTGCGTGGCCATCGTGCCGTGACTTAGGTGGTGGATCAAGGGCTGAAACCCAAGTGTGTGGTGAGCTTGCTAGCACTACCATAACACCAGCAGCCTTCCCTCTCGTCACGCCTCCCCAGGACACCACCGTCTCTCGTTGCGTATGTGTGGACTCTGATCTCAACTGCCACCATGCCACGATAGTAGCTGGTGAAACCAATGATTCCAGCTGGAGTGTGTAGTGCTGGAGGGCCGCCTGGTGCCAGGACATCGTAAATGTTATCTTGTTATCATTTAAAGTTCATACCTCTCTGATGGTTCTTTCTGGCTGCACTACAAACTCTTATTTTTTTAAGTGTTAATGACCATATTGTTGCTATAATTATCACTTAGGTGTTAATGACCGTATTGTTGCTATAATTATCACTTAGGTGTAAGTAACCATTACTTGAATCATGTTATATTACAGTTATTTTGTGTATATTATTATTTTTGCTGTTACTTATTTGTAGTAGTATATTATATTCTTATTATCACAAGTTATTATTAATATTATATTGTTGTACTATTATTATAAAACACACACACACACACAAACACACACACACACACGTGATATATAGGAGTGCTGTAATTCACTCAGAATATATACAGAACAGTTTACATGTAGTTACCGGAGCCTGAACCATAGAGCAACATTAATACTTAAACAGACGACAGGGAACACCAGCAGATGTAGGTCAGGAATGGACACCATATGTAACACAACACTACAGTACTTATGTAGTCAGTGGAGCGTCATGACACATACTCGCGTGTCTTTTGACAGTGCAGCTTCATACTCTCTTGGTGAGACTGGTTCACGGTGTTGGTGACTGTTTGGTGATGTTGCTGGTGTAGGGAGGCGTCGTTGTCTGGGAAGGAGGAGGGGAGGTGAAGGAGGTGGAAGAATTAAAGAAAAGTAGGAGTAGTAGTGAAAAGAGGGGGAGAGGAGTAGAGAAAAGATAAGTAAAGGGAGGAATTGAAGGGAAGACAAGAAGATGGAGAAAAGAGGAGGTGGCCGAGGGAATGTAGGAGAGAATATGAGAAAGAATGGGAGGAAGAAGAAGCAAGAGAGGAGTTGATTGGTCATAGTGTGGCGGGGAAGGGTCCTCAGCTCTCCACTCAAGCACCAGAAGCCGAGATATTTTGACCACATTTATAAAGACGACTTGCAGATCCCGTTATGCAAACTAGTGCCTCACCTTTAGATCATGTAATTATACCAAATATTACATAGTGTTATTACCTGTGTTTACCTGTATGTTTACGAGTTATTACCTGTGTTTACCTGGATGTTTACGAGTTATTACCTGTGTTTACCTGGATGCTTACGAGTTATTACCTGTGTTTACCTGGATGTTTACGAGTTATTACCTGTGTTTACCTGTATGTTTACGAGTTATTACTTGTGTTTACTTGTATGTTTACGATTTTGATGATATTTGATGATAATTTGGACTTGTTAATATTACGTTTGTTCCTGTAGTTATTTTTTTTTCTTTTTTTAGGTAAGACTGGAGTGAGGAGTTTGAATGGTGTAGTGGACATGACTCACCAGGTATGTACTGTAACCAATCGACGCTTATGCCACCATACTATCACCACCACCATACTATCACCACCACCATACTATCACTACCACCTACTAAATGTTTACATAATACTTCCTTGATATAAATGTATAGTATATATCAGGTGCCTCAAAGAGAGCTCAGGTTCTCAACTGGCTCAGCCATGTCAATATTGTTATTATTATCCACTCTGTATCTGTGTTTTTCTGGCTAAATAAACTTTCAATTCAATTCAATACTATCACTAACATCACCATACTATCACCACTCCCACCATACTATCACACCACCATCATCACCATACTATCACTACCATCACCATACTATCACCACTCCCCCCATACTATTATCACCACCATACAATCACACTACCACCATACTATCACACCACCATTCCATCACACTACCACCACCACCATATCATCACACTACCACCACCACCATACCATCACACTACCACCACCACACCATCATACTACCGCCACCACCATACCATCACACCACCACCACCATATCATCACACTACCACCATACCATCAGCACATCACCATTCCATCACCACACAACCATCACTCCCACCATACCGTCACCATCACTACCATGTCGCTCGTTTTAGTCAGCCCTGTTTCACGTCTTTTATTTTTTATTTGTTTCATTTAGGTTTTGGCGTTGTAAGGAGGTTTAATTTATCAAGTGTAATTAGCCCCAGCTACAGAGACCTTAGCCCCAGCTACAGAGACCTTAGCCCCAGCTACAGAGACCTTAGCCCCAGCTAACAAGACCTTAGCCCCAACAGAGACATTAGCCCCAGCTACAGAGACATTAGCCCCAGCTACAGAGACATTAGCCCCAGCTACAGAGACCAGAGACCTTAGCCCCAGCTACAGAGACCTTAGCCCAGCTACAGAGACATTAGCCCCAGCTACAGGAGACTTAGCTACAGAGACATTAGCCCCAGCTACAGAGACTAGCCCCAGCAAAGAGACTGAGACATTAGCCCCAGCTACAGAGACATTGGCCCAGCTTACCTGAGAGATGGCCCCAGCTACAGAGAGACGTGGCCCCAGCTACAGAGCATTAGCCCCAGCTACAGAGACCCAGCCCTAGCTATTTAGCCCCAGCTACAGAGACTAGCCCAGCACAGACCTTAGAGCAGAGACCTTAGCCCCAGCTACAGAGAAGAGAGCCCCAGCTACAGAGACCTTAGCCCCAGCTACAGAGGCCCCAGCTACTGAGACCTTAGCCCCAGCTACAGCTTAGCCCCAGCTACAGAGACCTTTACCCAGCCCCAGCTACAGAGAGCCCCAGCTACAGAGACCTTTAGACCCCCCAGCTACAGAGACCTTAGCCCCAGCTAGAGACCTTAGCCCCAGCTGAGAGCTACAGAGACATTACCCCAGCCCCAGCTACAGAGACCTACAGGACCTTAGCCCCAGCTATTGAGACCTTAGCCCCAGCTACAGAGACCTTAGCCCCAGCTACAGAGCCTTGCCTCGGCTACAGAGACATTAGCCCCCCTGCAGAGACAGACCTTAGCCCCAGCTACAGAGACCTTAGCCCCAGCTACAGAGACCTTAGCCCCAGCTACAGAGCATACAGCTACCAGCCCAGCAGAGCTGGCCCCCAGCTACAGAGACCTTAGCCCCAGCTGAGAGACCTTGGCCCCAGCTACCTTAGACAGACCAGCCCCAGCTACAGAGACAGCCCCAGAGAGCCCCAGCTACAGAGACCTTAGCCCCAGCTACCAGAGACCTTAGCCCCAGCTACAGAGGCCCCCCAGCTACAGAGACCTTAGCCCAGCTACAGCCCCAGCTACAGAGACTTAGCCCCAGCTACCTTAAGACCTTAGCCCCAGCAGAGACCTTAGCCCCAGAGACCTTAGCCCCAGCTACAGAGACATTAGCCCCAGCTACTGACCTTGGCCCCAGCTGAGACCTTACAGAGCCCCCAGCTACAGAGACCTTAGCCCCAGCTACAGAGACCTTTGGCCCCAGCTACAGAGACCTTACAGAGCCCCAGCTACAGAGACTTAGCCCCAGCTACAGACCTGAGAGAGGCCCCAGCTTTAGAGACATTAGCCCCAGCTACAGAGACCTTAGCCCAGCTACTGAGAGCCTGAGCAGCCCTTAGCCCCAGCTACAGAGACCATAGCCCCAGCTACAGAGACAAGCCCCCAGCTACAGAGACCTTAGAGCTACAGAGACCTTAGCTACCCCAGCCTACAGACCTTAGCCCCAGCTACAGAGACCTTAGCCCCAGCTACAGAGACCTTACAGAGACCTTAGCCACCAGCTACAGAGGCCCAGCTGGCCTTATTAGCTACTGAGACATTAGCCCCAGCTACAGAGGCCCCAGCTACAGAGACTTTAGAAATCTTACCACAGCTACAGAGACATTAGACGGAGACCTTCCCAGCTACGAGACCTTCCAGCTACAGAGACATTTAGCTACAGAGACCTTAGCCCAGGTACAAGGAGACTACAGAGACATTAGCCCCAGCCCCAAGCTACAGAGACAGGGTACAGAGCCCCCAGCTACAGAGACATAGCCCCAGCTACCTTAGCCCCAGCTACAGAGACCTTAGCCCAGCTACAGAGCCCCTTAGCCCCAGCTACAGAGACTGAGACAGTGGCCCCAGCTACAGAGACTTGGTCCCAGCTACAGAGACCTTAGCCCAAGCTACAGAGATTAGCCCCCTTGAGTCTACAGAGACATTGGCCCAGCTGACATTACAGCCCTTACAGAGCCAGCCAGCAGCTACAGAGAGCTACCTTAGCCCCAGCTACAGACACCAGCCCCAGCTATTCTAGCTACAGAGACCTTGCCAGAGACAGAGACCCCAGCTACTGAGACGTAGCCCCAGCCACAGAGACCTAGCTTACACAGACATTGCCCCTACACTGAGTCAGCTTAGCCCCAGCTACAGAGACAGAGACCTTAGCCCCAGCTACCTTCTACAGAGACAACTGACTAGCCCCAGCTACAGAGACATGAGTTTAGTTCACAGGGATTAGACCCCCATTGACGATGGCCCAAGCTACCCTAGGCTACAGAGACATAGCCCCAGCTGAGACCTTCCCAGCCCGCCACAGAGACAAGCATTAGCCCCAGCTGGACCTTAGAGACCTTAGCCCCCCAGCTACCCAGAGAGACCTTAGCCCCAGCACAGAGACCACAGCAGAGACACTTAGCCCAGCTAAAGAGACCCTAGCCCCAGCTACTGAGACATTTCCAGCTACAGAGACATTAGCCCCAGCTACAGAGACATTAGCCCCAGCTACAGAGACACTAGCCCCAGCTTAGACATTACCCCAGCTACGGAGACATTAGCCCCAGCTACAGACACACTAACCCAGCTACAGAGACATTAGCCCCAGCTACAGAGACATTAGCCCCAGCTACAGAGCAGCCTGAGACATAGCCCAGCTACAGCTACAGAGACATTAGCCCCAGCTACAGAGACATTAGCCCCAGCTACAGAGACATTAGCCCCAGCTACAGAGACATTAGCCCCAGCTACAGAGACCTTAGCCCCAGCTACAGAGACCTTACCCCAGCTACAGAGACCTTGGCCCCAGCTACAGAGACCTTACCCCAGCTAAAGAGACATTAGCCCCAGCTAAAGAGACCCTAGCCCCAGCTACTGAGACTAGCTGAGACATTAGCCCCAGCTACAGAGGCCCCAGCTACAGAGACACTAGCCCCAGCTTAGACATTAGCCCCAGCTACGGAGACATTAGCCCCAGCTACAGAGACATTAGCCCCAGCTACAGAGACATTAGCCCCAGCTACAGAGACCCCAGCTACAGAGACATAGCCCCAGCTACAGACACATAGCCCCAGCTACAGAGACATTAGCCCCAGCTACAGAGACATTAGCCCCAGCTACAGAGACATTAGCCCCAGCTACAGAGTCGTTAGCCCCAGCTACAGAGACATTAGCCCCAGCTACAGAGACATTAGCCCCAGCTACAGAGTCGTTAGCCCCAGCTACAGAGACATTAGCCTCAGCTACAGAGGCGTTCTTGTTTCTAGCTTCACCTAACAACCTATATGGCTAGTTAAGGAAACACAAGCGTAATTTGGGCATTTTCCTCTTGGCACTCACTTCCTCGTGTTCATATTCTAACCAACACAATTAGTGCTCAGTCGTAATGGGTGTCAGTCTTCATGGACCCTAATCCTATTATGACTGGGGCCCATTTGCCCTACAGAGTCCTTACTAATGGAGTTTTTCGTGACCCAGCACTTGATATTGTGTCACAGGTCATCATGGTATGGACTAAAACTATCCCGACTTAAACCGACTCCTACACTACACTACAGGTAACTCGTGTCTACTGTACTGACCTTCACATCTTCACGTTAAATATATCTAAATATGTTATTGAAAGTTGCCTTGTGTCGAGTGCAGAAATAAGACTCGGTGGAAGTACAGCCTCCTTTGGTGTTGATACAATAGTTGTTGGGCCACAATAAGCGTGTAAAGTTAGAGAGTTTCTGGTCAAGCGAACCCTGGCTTACCGACCACTAACTTAGCTGCAAGGATTGGGGTCCAGTCTTAATGGTTGGGATAGGTTATGGGCTTAATAGGACTGGGGCACATTTCACTCAGCCACCGTTTGGAATGCATCAAGTAAGCTAGAGACATACCAGAGCCAGGGGTGACGGTAGGTAGTGGTAGGTTCATGTCCTTTGTCAAGTTCCACCCTCAGGAAATCCTCCCTGCATGACCTTCACCAACACCTGCAGCTGAAGGTCAATGTTGGTTTAGTGATGCTTGCCTCAGACGTCGCCCACCGCCCTCCTCTCTGTAGAAGAGTAGAATATTGTCCAACAAGTCGATACTGGAGCGAGATGGACACTACCTATGGTGATACCTTTTGGTATGAATTGACCTTGACCTTTGACCTTTTAACCACAAAAACTTAGTCGTGCAAGATTTTTAACGTGATGACTATATATAACGAGTGAGTGAGTATTGTATATTATCCTTCCTGCAATTTTACTGTTTATTGTAATTATTATAATGGGGTGAATCTCTTTCTCTCTCAAAAAAAAAAAAAAAATCTGTTTACACATGTAAGAATTGTACTAAAAATTAACTCCGTTCCGCTCACTCAACCTTCATTATGTGCAGTTGCCACCAAAATTCCCTCGACACTTAGCAGTACATGGCAGCTACTTGTATGGTTATGTGTGTGGCAGGTTTATAGTAGTGAACATGATCCAAGACAAATCTGAGTATAAAGGTGCAGTAGGTGGTGTGAGGCTGGTGGAGGTGTGGTTCTGTGGGCGGGGTAGAGTGTGGACCAGGCAGAGCTCCTACACATCTTCGGGGATAAAGCGAGGAGTAGTCATAGCTGGGTTGTGGAGTGACCGTGTAATGTTGTATCAGACGAACCAATGACGTATTAAGGAGCTGTTTAGGGACTTGTATAGTGTGTGTGTGTGTGTGTGTGTGCAAGGTTCTGGCCTAATCACATGATAACTGGTTTAAAGGGCAATTTTGGTACAACTATCCTATATGAAAAACCTTCCCCAGGATTGATACGATAAATTATCATATAGTGCACAGTTAAGCACATTGGATTAATTAAAGCCACTAAAATATAATAATGTACACATAGTACGTTATACATAATGCACAGCAAAAATTGGAGACCTCAATTGACGTGCTGTGGACAGGCAGGTAAGTCAAGTTCGCAGAAGAATAAGCGGAGTTGGGAGTGTCGCTCGCCATCTATGAACGGCCATCTTGACCTGTTGGGTAGTCATCTTCCCAACATCCGGTATGACCGCCGTAAAGAGGTTCCGCAGTCATGAAACTCTGGCCATGAAGGTCCTCTGATGCTGACTGGCTCGTGACCTCGGCACCTCCACCAGCGGGACGCTCCACAGCCCCGTTCTCGTGCTCCTTTGTGCAGCTCGTAGGGGCAGCCTGAGTCCCGCCAGGTGAGGTGCCTCTGGGACCTGAACCTTGTGGAACACCGTCAGGACCGTCATATCTTTCCGGTGTTCCAGAGACTCCATGATGGTGGCGATGGCATAGGGGGGGTGTGATGTAGAATCCATCAGTCGCAGGGCTCGCCTCTGTTTTTGTCCAGTTTTCCAGTGTGGGAAAGAGCTCTGGACATCCACGACAGGGATGAGTACTTATCTGAGCCTTAAACAACGTCAGGGTCCCACTGTGGTCAAGATATCTAGTCAACCTTTTCAGGGCAGAGACCCTGAGTGACCTGGTCTTGTTCCCACCCTCCCGTTTAAGGTGGTACCCTTCCCTCCCTCCTGTTTATGGTGGTCTCCCTCCCTACCGTTTATGGTGGTCTTTCTCCCTCTTCTTCCTTCCATCCCTCCTGTTTTGGAATTGCTCTCTCATCACCGTTCCCTCCTTCCCTCCGTCCGTCCCTTCCCAGGGGAGGGCGCCGCACTTGTAATGAGTTTTGTCACCCCCCCACCCCGGCAAGTTCCCTCCACTCCCGCTAACTTGCCGCACTAACTGCCCAAATTTATTAATGATCTAAACCTTTATGGTGAGAGGTGCGACAGGCAGAGAGGAGCAAGACGATTTACGGTGTAAGAGGGAGAGTGTTGGAGGATTGATGGGGAAGAAGAAGAGTGTTGGAGGAATGAATAGGGGAGGAGGGATAGAGCTAAATGATTGGTGGAAGACGGAGATAGCTAAAGGGTGGAGGGGGAAGAGACACACAAAGTGGGAGGAAAATTAATTATTGGAGAAGGAAAAAGAGAGAGAGAGAGAGAGAACTGTGTATACATTATGAGAGAGAACTGTGTATACATAATGAGAGGGAGAACTGTGTATACATTATGAGAGAGAACTGTGTATACATTATGAGAGAGAGAGAGAGAGAGAGAGAACTGTGTATACATTATGAGAGAGAGAACTGTGTATACATTATGAGAGAGAGAACTGTGTATATATTATAAGAGAGAGAGAGAGAGAGAGAGAGAGAGAGAGAGAACTGTGTATACATTATGAGAGAGAGAGAGAAAACTGTGTATGCATTATGAGAGAGAACTGTGTAAACATGAGAGGGAGAACTGTGTATACATTATGAGAGAGAGAGAACTGTGTATGCATTATGAGAGAGAACTGTGTATACATTATTAGAGAGAGAACTGTGTATGCATTATGAGAGAGAGGCGACTGAGTTACTCGGAATTAAAACATGTTGGAGAATACATACATACATATTTACATACATGCACATGAAAACAGACAAAGAGGGAGGTTGTATTGATGTCCGTACATACATATATACATATATACATACATATAAGTTTGAGAGAGTCGGGGAAGGGAATGTATACATAGGTTATTGTTGAAGACGATTGTTGCATACAAGTTTTCTTTTGGAGAGAGAGAGAGAGAGAGATTCATAAAACCAGCTGTTCATTTCATCATTTCCGCTCCAGATGGTATCCTAGCCCTCACACACACACACACACACACACACAGCAAGAATCTCAGCTAACCTTGTATAGTATTAGGTTGTATGGATGTTGTTGCGACACTCCCTTGTACTGGCCGTCGGGGTGAGTAAGTGGCCGTCACTCCTTTGCAGTAAACTGAACGTCTACTAATATATGCAGACAGGTTACGATGGAGCTCGAGGAGGAGGAGGAGGAGGAGTTGGCTTTCCAGGAACACAATGTACTTGAAGATGTCACCGTGACACACCCTCAGCGTAATCAAACTCCCTAAGTGGTAATTTAGTCAAGATACGTTACAGTAGCGGTACCTGTGGGAGGGGTTCCAGCCTGGCTTAAGTCTTGTGTCAAGGTAGAGTAAGTCTTGTGTCAAGGTAGAGTAAGTCTTGTGTCAAGGTAGAGTAAGTCTTGTTCAAGGTAGAATAAGTCTTGTGACAAGGTAGAGTAGGTCTTGTGTCAAGGTAGAGTAAGTCTTGTGTCAAGGTAGAGTAAGTCTTGTATCAAGGTAGAGTAAGTCTTGTTCAAGGTAGAATAAGTCTTGTGACAAGGTAGAGTAGGTCTTGTGTCAAGGTAGAGTAAGTCTTGTGTCAAGGTAGAGTAGGTCTTGTGTCAAGGTAGAGTAGGTCTTGTGTCAAGGTAGAGTAGGTCTTGTGTCAAGGTAGAGTAAGTCTTGTGTCAAGGTAGAGTAAGTCTTGTGTCAAGGTAGAGTAAGTCTTGTTCAAGGTAGAATAAGTCTTGTGACAAGGTAGAGTAGGTCTTGTGTCAAGGTAGAGTAAGTCTTGTATCAAGGTATAGTAAGTCTTGTGTCAAGTTAGAGTAAGTCTTTTGTCAAGGTAGAGTAAGTATTATGTCAAGGTAGAGTACAGTAAGTCTTTTGTCAAGATAGAGTACAGTATGTCTTGTGTCAATGTATAATGTCTTGTGTCAAGGTATAATATATCTTGTGTCTAGGTATAATATGTCTTGTGTCAAGGTAGAGTACAGTATGTCTTGTGTCAATGTATAATGTCTTGTGTCAAGGTATAATATATCTTGTGTCTAGGTATAATATGTCTTGTGTCAAGGTAGAGTACAGTATGTCTTGTGTCTTGTGTTCAAGTGCTCGTGTTAGTGACTATAGGAAATGGCCGCCGTGGATCGTTGCGTTGTG